CGGCCTGGGAGCTGTGGGTTTGGCTGCAGTCATGGGCTGCAAGGCTGAAGGAGCCAAGAGGATTATCGCAGTTGACATCAATCCAGAGAAGTCTGAGAAGGCCACGGTGTTCGACGCGACCGACTTTGTGAACCCCAAGGATCACTGTATGTATGTATGTATGTATGTATAACAATTTTGGGTAAATTGGCTCATTATATTTAAGATCCATGCTGTTTCTCCATCGAGCGCAGTGCCTTGGAGTCTTGTGTGAGAGGTTGTGGCGTCGGCGTGATAGTTGGGATGATCATGACCGACGTATCTACGCACCCCTTTCAGCTCATCTCTGGACGCACATGGACGGGCACTCTGTTTGGAGGTGAGACGAATATGACCATCACTGTGGTAACTAAATGGGTGTGAGCTCATGTCCTGCAACTCTTGGTTAGTTGTGTTCTAGATAAGACTGTGATTGTGTGCCTCAGGCTTTAAGGGTAGGGATGCTGTTCCTCAGTTGGTCAAAGCCTACCTGGACAAGAAGTTGATGGTGGATGAGTTCATCACTCACAACATGACTTTGAACCAGGTCAACGATGCCATTGAGCTGATGAAGCATGGTAGATGTACACTCCCATTCTTTCTCCTCCATTCATGACTCAACAATAACACAGATCAATGAAAGGTGCAGGTCTCCTCATTTCTCTTTTACTTTGGTTCCACAGCATCCGGACGGTCATGACAGTTTCTCCACAATGAGACCACTGTTGCTTTCAATGACCCCAAAGTAATTTGGTAATTTACCGTTATATATTCTACAAAATCTTTACATGATAGTCATACAAATAATGCACTGCACATTATAAACTGATCTGTTAATTATGCATAATATATATGCCCGACTCTAAGCACTAAATACTATTCGATGGAGTAGATTGTGAGAATCAGCTGCAGTGTTCAAAAGCAAAATGTATCAAAGTGTTTAAAGAGCAAAATAAATGGTATAAACAGAAACTCTGTGGCGGTCTTGTTTTTGTTCTGGTTTTATTGTGTCGCAGCATTGTCTGTCATGCCTCTGAATGCTTGATTAAACTTGGTTTAAAGTGTCAGTTTTCCCTGAGATCTCCTCAGACTAGCCGAATTATGTTTGTTTAACTTGGCAGACAGCACTGTAATCATTCTGCTAGGATGGGCTCCAGGATCTGTCCCAGAGCAGTACTTCTGTTTGCTTCTTGAAGAATTTATAATAAAAGATACAATATTGTAGTTGAACAGGGGCAATAAATGAAAAATGATATGAGACTAACGGTACATATAATAACCGCTGTTTGGCACTGACATTTTACAGAGCAGAAATTACAGTTCACGATTGCTCTCTGTTTGCACTGATGGTTGAGCGGATGGGTTTTATCCAATTATTCATCCTTATGATCTTGGAGAAACGAAAGCAATTACTGTGACTGATTAGTCTTTCAATCTGTCATGATGTACAAATGATTACGACCTGGGCTGCTCCTTCCTCCATTCATTTCAAAACTGGAGTCACAAATTAAAGGTATACTTGACTTAAAACTGAACCACACATTGTCAACCGATTCAAATGTGACCTTACCCAGTACATGATACCATCCAACTCTTAATAGAATACACCATTTACTCATAGGGCTCAAAACTACAGAAACCTTATTCCAACAAAGGCAGACGAAAAGATAAACTTGAACATATCGACGACTAGTGCCAACGGCCAACTAGCGCTTGTTGTGCGCCAACGTGAGAGGAAATGACTCTTCTTACCAGCAGCGGGTGGTGGTCGGTGTTCGTCTTCCAGGGATATACAAGCCGTTCTGATACATGAAGAACAAAGCTGAGTTTTCCTACCATTTTCACACTGCTCTCGCTCAACACTTTGCTTATCAGGTGAGGTAAAAATGAGAAGGGACTTTTGTGTGTGCGCCCTCTTGACTTTACTCGTTGGCAAGCTTTCCTCACTTCCGTTTCTCTTCTCGTCCACTGATTCGCTCATGCAGGACCCTCCTTGGTGATTGGTCTCTAGACTGAGATAAGACCTGCACTCTTACCTAACCTTGTGAGGGCGAGAGCATTTGTGAAACAGCATGGCAACTGCAGGGAAGGTAAGCACGCTATCTTCTCCTCACACGCCGTGACATCAGAATAATGAACTTCTGCAAAAGCTTTAAGGGATTAAAGCTGTCCCACAAACGCTGCTAGGGTTGCTAGGACTTTTCCTCTGCTCAGTCAAGCGTTTATGGAATAGAGGGAATGTTAAGAGTACAAGAGGGTGGGGTTGAAACTGCTATTTATTTTGAACATAAGTTTTCATTTAACTGTAAAAGAGAAACCCTCTCGCACTCTGTTGCACAATCTACAAAAAGGGAAGTCATTGGAGAGTTTTGTGTTTTTCTTGGAGGGCTCTTGTTGATCTTTAGTTGAGGCTTCCTGTTGTTGCAACATAGGGGGGAGAGAGGTCAAAGTTTGCCTTGAAGACAGTATTTTTCATGGGTATGTTATTCTCAGCCCGTTGAGAAACACAGAAGAGCTGAGGGCGAACGGACTCTGATCCAGTTTTCTATAGTCTGCAATACAATAAAGTATCAAGGTGTTTTCCGCCATCCTTTGAATCAAGGCTGCCTCCACTACAGCACCGAACGGGTTAAATGTCCACAGAATTGTTGTCGTCAGCCAGCTGAAGCTGGACGTTGTGTTGTAGGTCGTCCGGTGCAAAGCTGCCGTGGCATGGGAGGCTGGGAAACCTCTGGTGATGGAGGAGGTGGAGGTGGCACCTCCGAAAGGCGGGGAAGTTCGCCTCAAGGTAATGAAACAGGGCTGACGTGTTCGCTATGGACACTCGTTTAATAAAGATGAATTAAGACCGTTATGTTGCTGCAAACTCTTCAGTTAATGTGTTCTTACTTCATAATTTAAATCGGTTAAAGGAACTGATGCAACTATGAAAAAAAGTCATTACACCTTTAGTACACGGCATAATATTTATAATCTACCCCATATGATAACCAGCTCCACCTGAAAGCTTAGTCACTTTTTCCTCTTGTATTGTATGTGCAGTACAACACTACAGTGTACTTTGTACCTTTAGTTATTTCTGGTTATATGTTGGAAAAGAGAAGAATTTGCTTTATTGTTACTGTATTCATAATTTACCATGAACAAAAATATCTTCTCTTTATATTAATACAATATTTACACAAGTAGTATAACCTCTACTTAAAGAGATTCTCACAAATCAACGACACTGAAGAATTAAGTAGAGGATATAAATGAATTACGAATAACATTTGATTCATGAAACTGATTGATTTCCCCGCACTACAGCAAATCTTTGTCTTCGGTTAAGAGCATGTAATAAACGGATCGAGCACAGATCAGATCACAGCCCTTTATTTCAGATTGTGGCCACAGGGATCTGTCACACTGACTCCTACACTCTCAGTGGGTCCGACCCCGAGGGAGTTTTCCCTGTGGTGCTGGGCCACGAGGGAGCCGGCATTGTGGAGAGTGTCGGAGAGGGAGTCACCAAGTTTCAGACAGGTTCCCCCTCTCTTCTCTTCCCTTCACTTCATTAAGGGTTGCTGGGTCTAATGTGAATGTTCAACTGAAACATGCGTTTTTTTGTTTTAGGGGACGCAGTCATACCCTTGTATATCCCACAGTGTGGAGAGTGCAAGTTCTGTAAGAATCCCAAAACCAACTTGTGTCAAAAGATCAGGTAAATGTCCTGGGTTAAAGCATTTGCAGATCCGCCTCTACCTCTACCTCGTGCAGCTCATCAACTGTCAGATCTGCGCTTGTGTCTTGTTCTCCAGGCTCACTCAGGGCAAAGGCTTGATGCCAGATGGGACAACCCGTTTCTCTTGCAAAGGCAAGAGCCTCTTCCACTTCATGGGCTGTAGCACATTCTCTGAGTACACTGTGGTGGCTGAGATCTCCCTGGCTAAAGTGGACCGCAGGGCCCCTCTGGACAAGGTGTGTCTGCTGGGCTGTGGCATCACCACGGGTTATGGAGCCGCTCTAAACACTGCCAAGGTGAGTCTGGCGCCCCTTATGTCACTGTGCTGCGATCATCGGTCACCCTTCAGTGTAGGCGGGATTCTCAGCTGATCGCCAGAGCAACATCACCGTCAACGCAACACTCACTGAATCCTTTCATCAGCAATCAAACATAGGAACATCTGCACTTTGTAAATTGTACGCTGTAGTGTACTGTGGTGGGCTACCATTTTGGTTGAAGAATAAAAAAATTGCAGTCACTTGACGGAAGCTTTGCTATTTAAAAATGATTAGACTTTTTTTTGTCTCGGGATGGCAAAGGCAGTTTGTTTAAGACCAAAATATCTCAACAATTATTAAATGCATTTCCAAGAAATTTGATATTGTCATTCATGGTTCCCAGAGGATGAAGCCAAATGATTTTGGTGATCCCTTGACTTTTCCTCTGGTGCCACCAGCAAGTCAAACTTTAACTTGCGAAGTGAATTGTCTGAACATCTACTGGATTAATTGGCATCAACGTAGTGGACAGACATTTATGGTCCCCAGAATACGTGTTCTAATGACTTTGTTGATCTGCTGACACTTCCTTTGGTGCCACCATGAACTGTAATGAAAACCTTTTGGATTGATTGCTATGAAATGTGGTTTGTAATAACATAAGTGATTCATTAACTCTTCATCTAGTCAGTTCCAAATCTTAATTTGACCATCTACCTGCAAAACTAATAACATTCCTATCAGCCTCAGCTGTACTTTGTGTAAAGTGCTAATTAAGAAATGTTAGCATGCTAACACCCCCGACTAAGATGATGAACAAGGTAAACATTATACCTAGTCACCATCAGCATGTTACATTATTAGCATACTGATGATACCAACTAGGTCAAAGCACCCCTGTGCATAAGTACAGCCTCACAGAGCTGCTGAGATCAATTTTAATATGCATTTAATATGAGCCAGCATGTACCTACGATCAACATACGTCAGTGAAAAACACAGCTGAAGCATGCAGGAGCAAGCACATGCAAAAAGCGTGGGCTCCTTTTCTAATCATTATGGGGCATTAACTTGAGGTATTCTAATTAAGATCAGTCTTATTTTCCCTGCTGTGCTTACCTGTAACTGCCTCTTCTGTCGCTCGCCCTGCAGGTGGAGGCCGGCTCCACCTGCGCGGTGTTTGGCCTGGGGGCGCTGGGCCTCGCAGCAATCATGGGCTGTAAAGCAGCCGGAGCAGCCAGGATTATTGGAGTCGACCTCAACCCTGATAAGTTTGAAACCGCTCGGGAGTTCGGTGCCACAGACGTGGTGAACCCAAAGGACCACGGCAAGCCGATCCAAGAGGTCCTGGTAGAGATGACCGATGGCGGCGTGGACTACTCCTTTGAATGTGTGGGCAATGTGGCAATCATGGTGAGCGGGGAATTAAAAATTCCATGTTATTGACCAGCTCCCCTACTCAACAATTCACTTGTGCAAGCTGAATAATCCCATGACCCTAATAAATATGGTAAAACCACCTCAACTCTACTCAAACCGCCTTTAAGAAAGAATAAATATAAGATAAACACAATTGAGCAAAGTCCAAATAGATTAGGGTGAGGTTGTGGTAGAGTCCAGGTGCTGTTTAGATCCAGTTGATGTGATATTGTCTCGTGGTGGCAGAGGGCAGCCCTGGAGGCCTGCCATAAAGGATGGGGCACCAGCGTAATCATC